CCATCCACGCATCCACCCACCCACCCATCCATCCATCCACTCATCCATCCATTCACCATACATACATATATACATCTATCCATCCATCCACCCATCCATCCATCCATCCACCCATCCATCCATCCATCCACGCATCCACCCATCCACCCACCCACCCATCCATCCATCCACTCATCCATCCATTCACCATACATACATACATACATCTATCCATCCATCTATCCATCCATCCACTCATCCATCTAGGCACCCATCTATCCCATTCTCACAAATGTTTACAGTGGGCTAGGCATTCACAGGCACCCAGGACACCAATTTGGTCCTTCTGCATTTCTCACATGAGCTCCTTCAAGCTCCTGTTCTGCTTCAGGGCGTCTGCCATCTGCTGGACTCCCTTGGGCCCAATAGTGTTCTTCTGCAAGCTGTGGAAGAGGAGAGGGTGTCCCTGAGTGAAGCTGGTTACAACCATTCCCAGGTCTTCGACAGCCAAGTCAAGTTTAGGAGCTAGAGAAACTTTGACAAGCTAGTCTAGATTAGAAACTACTCCTTTTATCACAGCATGTGGTGAGGTGGGAATTCTCCAGGAAAGGTCTGTGACTCATTACCAGAGTGTTGCCAATGACGTCATTATAGGTCTGTTGCCACACCTTCCCTTCTAAGGAGCTAGGAAGCAGTGATTGGTGGATACCCAGAATATCTGGCAGCCTCCCAAGTGGATGTCCATGTATAAGTCCAGCTGTCCACTCAACAGCCAATAATCTCTCGCCATCTCCCAACACTAGAAAGCTCTCTGGATAGCAGAGATCAGAGGGCAGATGCTCCTTATCAATTCCTCTTCTCTAAAAGCTACTTCCTTTTTATAGTAAGTCTGGTGGAAGGAGATGTAACAGGAAAGTCTCATGGCTGGTGAGAAAACTGGCTCTTAGGCTCCTCTTCGCACCAGGGCATCTACACAATGGATTTTTCCTGGATCCCCAAGAGAGAGACTTCCCCTACCCTCTGCTTCAAACATTTCTTTTCAAGAACACCTGTAACTGTCAATCCTTTCTCGATCCCTTTGAGATGTTGTTGATAGATGCCACTGAGTCATCCTGACTCATAGTGAATATAGCGTTTCCAAGGAGTACCTGGAGAGTTTGAACCAGTGACCTTCTGGTCAGCAGTCTGGTGAAGATGTATGTCAACATTTTCAAAAGCTCAATAAATCTCCTGCTGGTTTGGCAATCCAAGGAGCTTCCTCTTTGAAATGTAAACTTCAAGGAGCTAGTGCCCCAGTATCCCTGCCTCCTTACCATAGCACCTGCTTGTCATGGAGACATGAGAGATTTTAGTTTTCCTATGGCTAAAGGCAGTTAACTAACACAGGTGGCCACCCAGTTACCAGGTGAATTTAGGATGAACTGTGTGTGACAAATGGTGCCAGGTTTCCTGACTAGAGACTAGTGACGGTTTCTCTTGAGAACATGTTGGTAGTGAGTCAAGCTGACCCGGATACATAGGAGGCTGAACGTTCTTTCTGTCTTTGTCACGATCTGGTTTAAGGCTTATCCAGTAAAAAAAACAGTTTTGTTCTCTCCTATATTTGTGGACAGGATTTTCTGGGAGGGCAGAAGATTTTCTTTTGAATCTTCTTCCAGCACATGTTCTCTGGAACAGAGTCTGGCATCAGTTTTCCAGGGGCCATCTGGACAGGTGAGAAAGTCTCTGGGTCTCACCGACATCCATTCCTCCTCACAGAAAACAGGAAGAGACACCCTTGGGGAAGGGCAAAAGAGGAGAGAGGTGGCAGCCTGTCCACTTACTGCAGCATGCAGAGGGTCCGAGTGGTGGCCAAGGCCTCAGCCATGGACCTGGCACCATCGTCCTTGATCACGTTGCTCTGGAGGCTGTGGAGATGAGGGAGAGGAGTGTCACTGTGGAGCAAAAGAGAGCCTCCAATGATCCTGATGGGGACTCTCATCTCTCTCATCCAGGAAGATACCTCAGGGCTACCAAGGCAGTTCAAACTTACTAGCCACTCCTCAGAAGCCCTATACCGGGCGGCTATGAGTCAGAATTGACTTGACAGCACAGAACACCACCACCAGCACCATCATATGACCCTGCAATTCCACTCCCAGGTAGGTACATACCCAAGAGAAATGAAAATATATATGCATGAAAATGTTGATAGCAACAGTATTCAAATAACCAAAAGGTGGAAGCAATTCAAATGTCCATCAGTGGATGAATTGATAAGCAATTTTTATTATCCACACCATGGAATATTATTTGGTCATATTACATGGGACAAAGTGGACAAACCTTGAAAACTCATTGAGTGGAAAGAAGGCAGACACGAAGGGCCACATATTACATGATTCCATTTATAGAACATATCCGTACATTAAGACATAAAGTAGATTTATGGTTTGCAGAGACTGGGGACAGGGAAAAAAGGGGAAGGACTGTTAAATGAATAAGGAGACCTGGGGGTGATGGGAATGTTTTGGAACAAGACAGAGGTGATGACATCATACTATCAATGTCCTAAATGCCACTGAAGTGTACACTTTAAAATGTTACATTTATATGATTTTCACCTCAAAAAAGAAAGTAAAATGGAAAAAAAAGAGATAATTCCAGACTTAACTAAGGATGGCTACACCCACAGGCACCTACAAAAGGACAGAACCAACCACACCAAACACAGGGACCTTCTGAAATGTGGGCTCTTCAGGGTGCCAAAAACACTTCATGAAACAATTAGGACACCATGACTTTGGGAATTTCCCCTTCTATAAAAGACAAGAGGTTTTCCTATCATTTTTATTATTTTGCCTTTCCCCACCCGCAGCCCCTGCTTTTCCTCTATCCACTCTTCAGGTCATAAACAAGCACGCAGAGTAAAGAGGGGCTGGAACTTTGAAACTTGCTTAGCATACAAGACCCCATGGTATCCAGTGGGCTGGACCCCAGGCCTACCATTTAGAAACCCTCCCGTTTGGTAGCATTTGAGGAAAAGGTTTTCTAGACTCTCTGAAATTAACCATTTTAAAGTGTGCACTTTGGTGGCTGGGGGAAGCAGGGATTGGGGGCAGGTAACGTACCTCAGAGAAGCCAGAGTGCGGTTAATCTTCAGAGCATCTGCCAGGGCCTTGGCCCCTTGTGGCCCAATGGAGTTACCTCGGAGGCTGGTGAAGGAAGAGAGAAAGAATTACCCCCATTCATTTGACTTCTAGGGTGGGAAAGAAGAGGAATTACACTGATCCTCAAAAAGGGTCAAGGTTAAGGATTTTCGTGTTTGATGGAAGTGGGGCAGAGATCTTATATAGTCAGACATGGAAGAAGTTTTCCAAGATAGTCCCCTGTGATGGGAGAGAAATCAGGACTTGATGGATTATTGGGAATTAATGCAAATTAAGGAGAATTATAATCCCACATTTGGGACTGAAAAACCCAGTACTTCACTGGGTCCGATTTAGCAGTCTTGGGGATGACACTCAGGCAAGAGTCCAGGGGCAAGCAAGGCTTTGCTTGCTCAGTTGTCCTTCCAATCCACCCAGAGGAGAGTGTGAGCCAGGATGAAGTCTCTCTGATTCCTAATCTTACAGAATTGAGGGACCATCAGGGGCCCAGAGATCTTGGAACCTACTTTAAATGCAGTATGGAGTCCATGCCCAGAGGCTAACCGTGGGGGAAGGGTGGATGAAGCCAGTCTCTTGGCTGAGGAGGAAAGAGCCTATACAAGATGGTCCACATACTTTTCCTCTTCCAATGGCAAAACATAGATAGGCCTGTGGTATCCTACTTACTCCAGAGCAGTCAGACTTCTGTTGACCAGAAGGGATCTGGCCAGAGCTTTGGCCCCTTTGTTGCTAATCTGGTTCTCAGCCAAGCTGCCCAAAGAAAGGGAGAGGAGTGAGTGGTTAATTAGGGCCATCCATCCATCACCTCTTCCTTCATGCCATGCCTGTGGTTGAATCCCTAGCCCTCCCCAGCATCATCAGGACCTAGACATGAATGGAAATGAGGTAACCCCTTGAAACAGGATGGTCAAACACAGGCGCACCGCTGAGCCTGGGCAAACTAGGGCAAGAGTAGGTGGGTAGCCCCAGATTCTGGCAAAGGGTTCCAGGGAAAAGTTTGGCTAGAATCCAGCACAACAACTTCCATGCACAGAGCAAAACGAAGAGGACAATGACAGAAACCCAGCATGTGGATCCTGCCAGTGGTATGCTGATGAACTGGCTGGCCAGAAAAAAACGAAACACACAAAACGATTACAGCGTTCGCTAGTTGCCATGGAGTCAATATTCTCACCATGGCCAACGGCCAATTCCAAGCACAGTTTATAACTAGCTTGCAAACCTCCTGAGAATTTAACCTTCAGCTCTCATGAACTGGTACAAGCCGGTTCCAGCACACCACTGATTCCAGCCTTTCTCCAGTGAAAGACAAGTAAATGGTAAAGTTGTTACAAAAAAAAGCAGGTAAACAACAAAAATCATCTATGCCAGCTTTGAAAGGAGACTCCATGAATATGCTGGTGGGGCAACTCAGCGTTATCTCATGTACCAAATTTTGGAGGTGCTGGTTCTTGACAGTTTCCTAGGCATTTAAAACTGTTGGGGTAGCCCCAAGGGGTACAGCTGCTCAGGTATATCTTCCCTTCCGGGTCCCCCTAAAAATTCAGGAGCCACCAAGAGGCTGATGAGGAAACCATGCAGACTGGGCTCTAGACTCCCCACCACTACTTCTTTTAATCCTAGCAGCTCCCCCTTTTGTCTGTTTTGCTTGATGTCTTTTGGAAACTATTTCTTTAGAAAAATTTGAAAACCACTCAGCCGGGCCACCTTATGTATAAATGTTCTCAGATTCTAGAGCACCTCTGCTCCTGCCCCCCAGGACTTGTATAACATTTTGTAAGTGGTGTTTTGTGAGTCATGTGAAAAGTTTCTTTTCAATTCCTTCCTGCCTTCTGAGCTCTATGCCTGGGCAAATGCTGCTCCTCTGATCTTCTGTGGTTGATGGTTCTAAGAAATGCGGATCTCCCTGGTGTTACCCTTGACCTTATGGGCCTGTCTAAGCACCTTCCCCCTCCCTGTGAGGGTTCCACCAGGCTCTATAGACAACATGTAACTTTTCTGAAGGATATCATGGGCATTTCAAACAGGGATAGGACATTTAGAACCAACTACATAGTGGTGAAGAAGGGCATGTGGCCATAGAAGAATATTTTGGCTTTCTTCAAAATCATTTTTGAAAATTGTTTCTAGCCTACTTTAAGTAAAACACTGAAAATTGAAGACTCCCATGACATTAAAACAAAACATTAATGAGAAGTCATCATGATCATTTTTTCTTTCAAAGGTGTTGCACTTATTTCTCTTGCTCCCAAGACAAAGGCCATACTGCTAATGACAGCGCTTCCTTCCCTGATGCCTCCTCTGTATCCTCCTTGTCTCAAGCACTTTACTTGAACTAGTTCATATAAACCTCACAACAATCCTAGGAAAGGGTTAAGCTTGAGCAATGAAAGATCTGACCTTTGACCTTCGGTCCTGGAAGGTAACTTCTAACCCCTTGAAGTGTGTCCTGTCTGATAAGTGTCTTTGTTTACTTGAAGGCTGTGGACCATGCCAGGTAGTTTATGCTAACAGTATGATTTATGGTGGGGCCTTGAGCCATGTGATACCAGCTTGATTTTGGAGGGACTGGAGACTGAGGTCAACCATATGGGTGAGGAGTCCTGGTGTGGCACTGTGGGCTAATGCATCAGACTGCAAAGTTGTTTGAACTGCAAGGTCAGTGGTTCAAGCTCACCAATTGCTCCTTGGAAACCCTATACAGGGTTGCTATGAGTCAGAATCAACTCAACAGCACTTAACAACAACTACCATGTCTATGTGATTGACTCATAATAAAAACTCTGGCCACCAAAGATTGGGTGAGTGTCCTTGGTTGGCAATACTCCATGTGTGTTGGCACACACCATTTCTGGGAGAATTAAGCGCTGTCCATGTGACTCCACTGGGATAAGGCAAATAGGAAGTTGTGCCTGATCTCTCCTGGACTCTACCTTTTGTTTTGCTAATGTGAAATTTTCATATTTTATTGTAATAAACCCAGGAGGATAATGACTTTTCTGAGCTTTGAGAGTCCTCTTAGTAAACCATTGACCTTGAGGGTGGTCTTGGAGACCTTATCCTCTTTAGGTACAGATGAATCTTGTTCAAGATCACACAGCACCTACTGTCTTAACCGCTGTGTTCAGCGACTTGAGTTTGTTCCTAACTGGTTCTAAATTTTTCCTTTCTTCAGAGAAATATTACTCAGAACATGGGAAATTATTGAGAATAAAAAATGGCTCTCTGGGTTGTCTCCGTAGTTTTCCAAAACCCACTCTCATGCCATCACATCTGTTTAGCTACAACCAGGGTGTTCCTCAGATTCAGACTTGTTATTCTAGGAGAGATTTCATGACCATGTAGATCTCTTCTTCCGTTCTAAAGACTCATCTGATTACCATGTTGTTAGTTGCCATGGAATTGGTTCCAAATCATGGTGCTCTTATGTATAACAGAATGAATTCAATGTGTTAGATGCCGAGGTTACTGTTTGAGGCCAAACTTTGAAAGGAGCTTAGAGAACGTTGGGCCATGTCACCACAGACATGGGAGGAGAAACGGATAGTTCTTGAGAAATGCTTTCCTGTTCTGGACAGTGTCTGACCCTCATCATGCCAATCCCCTTTTCTTACAGATGAACTACCTCAGGTTCTGGAATGTTCTAGAATGGGCAGAAACAAGCACACTGTATCCTGAACCATATTTGTCAAAGATACCTCTTCTTGAAAGCACCCTGGCCAGTTGAACAGAGAAGGTGATAGAAGAGTCATGGACCCCCGGAAACAGGTAGGTACCCACGAGTGGAGTGTCCTTGCTGAGGGTTACCTGATCTTCTGAATGCGACAGTCCTTCCCACTCAGCACACTACCCAGCAACTCCATCACCGGGTCCTGGAACTGGTTTGTGTCCAGCCTGCCCAAGAAAAACAGTGACAGGGAGTGTCCACTGCCCATGGGCAGCTGGGGAAGAGACCAGTGGCAAGAGAACTAGCCTTGGGGCAGGGGAGTGGTCTCCAGACATCCTGTTTGGGAACCCTTTTCCTCTCTCTCCTCCCCATCCCATCCTTGTGGTTCAGAGTTTGCACCTAGCGCACACACACTGCTCCGAGTTCTCCTGTGGAACTTGAAATGAAAGGCTCAGAGGTTATGAGTCTTGGGTTTCCTGTCCAGGGAGGTGGCTTCACCGGCTATCTTACAACAATCCCGTGTGCTACGTATCTGTGTGGCACTGAGCTTACTCTCCTCTGTCCGAGGACCCATACCTGCTCTCAGGTTCCATGGCCCTTGTCCTATAGGCTGAGTTCCAGAGCAGTGGATGGAATCAGGGGGCACAGACTCCACAGCACTGGGCTGGTCCAGGGCACCAGGGGCAGAAACTGTTGCAGACCCTTCTCCCTACTCTGCCCACTTGCACTGAACACCCTCCCCGTGCCCACCTGAGGCTCTGGCAGTAGAGCAGCTGGGGCAGTAGGCTCTGGAGGACAGCCCGGCTGAGGCACAGGGACAGGTTGGCTTCCTGGGCACAGGTGTCTGACACCTGCAGCAAGTAGGCCAGGGTGGCGCGGTGCGCGGGGCTGGTCAGCTCGGCCAGGGATCCGCGCTCCATGGCCGCCTCCACGTCGCGGGCCAGCTCCGTGTGCTGTAGCTCTTGCAGGCAGCGCAGGATGTTGATGGCCCGGGCGCTGACAGCGGCCTCGGAGGCCAGGCAGCCCCGCAGGAGGCTAGCCACCTGCGTCCGGTAAGTCTGGTGCTCGCCTATGGCCAACAGGGAGTCTGATAGCAGGGCGTTGACCCTGGGGGACAGAAGGCCCGAGAGGAAGCGGAGGAACACGTCCAGCCTGCCGTCCTCCGCCTGCATGGTCCGCTGGGCGGCGCTCCGGAAGTGCGTGAGGAAGCCCAGCCGGGGCCAGGACATGCCGCTCTCGGTGAAGAGGTCGAAGATGGCCCTCTTGGATGCGCTGTAGTAGTAAGCAGCTGCTACAAACTCCTGCAGGGACAGGTGGGAGAAGCAGTAGGCGGCCGAGGCACCCGGTATTTCCTCCTGCCGCAGAAAGCAGCTGCAAACAGCGCTGTGTAGCAGGGTCAGGTCCACCCCGGATGCCTTCAGGTCCTGCTCGTAAAACACGTACTTCTTCCTGAGCAGCCCGAGGAAGGCCAGCCGGCCCAGCGTCCCCACCATCCTGCGGCCCCCCTGGGCCACATGCTCGATGCGTGGGCTCACTTTGCCCCTGTCCTGTCCCTCCCCACCCAGTGCCATCCGGAAGTACCAGGAGTAAATTTCACTCAGGGTCCTCGGGGATGACAGCTCAGCAGCGTCTGGGGTGCCCCGCCTGTGGTGGTACAGGTAGCCCAGAGCCAACCCTGAGAGCCGACAGAAGGCAGGGACAGTGCACATCAGGTAAAGAGCCCTGTTTGCCTGCACCTGGGCCAGAACCCAGTTCGTGAGGCTCTGATCTTCTGGGAACATCTGCCCCAAACACGCTGTGATCTCCTCCTCATTAAAGCCCCGGATCTCTGTCATCCGGTCCACCAGGCCCCCCGGGATCTGCCCAGCCGCACCAGGGCGGGAGGTGACCCAGACAGAAACTTCCGGAAAGAGGTTACCGCGGATGATGTTGGTGAGGAGGCTGTCCACCTGGATCTCCTTCTTGGGGTCCGTGCAGGCTGCCGCGTTGGAGAAGTCCAGGGGCGTCTTACTCTGGTCCAGGCCGTCCAGAATCAGGAGGGTCCTGGTCGGAGCCCCCACTACCAGGCTGGACTCCCCGATGTGTTGGAAGGCGGTGCGGATGAGCCGGTCAGCTGACAACTTCTCGTAAGTGTTCAACTCCCGGAAGGTCAGGGGCAGCACCAGAGACACGTCCTTGGCGAGCTGCCCTTGGGCCCAGAGGCGGACAAAATGCCTCACCAGGGTGGTCTTGCCCACGCCGGCCACCCCGACGGTGATGGAGACGCGGGGCGGCACTGAGACCCGGGAGAGGGGCAGGAAGAGCCCGTCCAGAGCAATGGTTCTGGCGGCACGCCCAGCCCCACGTGTGGCTTCCACCTGCGTGAAGTCGTGTTCCCGAAGCTGCAGGTCCGTCAAGCCGTCCACTAACAGAAGGCTGGCCAGCCTGGCCGGGGGCTCACCCAGCTCCTTGCTGTCCCCTAGCCTGCCCAGCAGGGCGGCCCGATGCCGCGGGATCCTCGAGTCTGCGTGACAGAGGCCCAAGGGGGCCAGGGTGGGTGAGGATGACAGGAGCGGGGCAGAGGGTTCAGGGAGAGGCCCCCCTCTGCCATCCAAGCCCATCCTACCATGGCGGGGGCACTCCGGCGTCCTGTCGGGGGTCTGCAGGGCTTGGGTCCCCTTCCCTGTCAGCAGGTCCATGAGGGCCTTGACCTGCTCGGCTGGGGAGCCACCCACAAGTACTTCCTGCCTCCGCATGCAGCCCGGGGCCTCCACCAGGAGCTGTGGACAGCGGAGCCAACCCTGCTGCCTCCATCCGTGCCTGGGACCACCCCAATCCAGGGCCTCCAAGAAATAACCCCACTTCCCTCCCCTCCCTAGATGGTGAGAATAGGCTCATCCCAGGGGCTTGGCTTGGGGCAGGGGCCACTCACCAGCCGACTCTTGTGACTCTCTGACCTGCCGTGTCATCAGTAGCCTGACAGTGGGTGAGAGACACATAGAGGTGTCACATGGCAGGGGAGCTGGTTCCCAAATGCCTGCAAGGTGGCTTTCCTTATCCAGCTGTCCTGGGGGCTCCTGGGAATGCAGGGACGCAGCAGACAGGTGAAACCCACAAGCCCCATCTGCCCACAGTGGCTTCCTCCCCCAGGACCTGAGTCAGCTGCATGTTCAGGGCTGGCTGCATGCCCACATGACCTCCAAGTAGATGTCCTCACTCCTTCCCTTCTAGCGGGCAGGACATCATCAGGGCCACAGGCTCAGGGGGCAGGGGCCAGCCATTCCCCACCCCTAGTTCTAAAGCAAAACATACCATGGGACAGGCAAGGTCCTAGATCATGCCTGCTGGTGTATATTTACTGCCTAACTGTATTAGTGCTGTTTTCAGTCTGCTCAGGTTTTTTCATATTATTGCAAAGGTAATCTTACCTTTTCCTTTCTAAAGTTAACTCTTATTTTGGAGACTTTAACAACACTGGCCAGACCCCAACCGATGCGAAATCACATTCGTCATACAGACTCCTTGGTTAATTAACTCTGAGGCCACCAGGAGAACACCTAACCCTCATCACATTTGTGAAGTGTTTATAATTAGTATTCTCTTGCTAAGGAAGTTTCCTTTAACACCTCATTTCCTATTGCAACTCAAATAATATTATGGCCAGAGAAGAATGGATGCATTTAAATTATGGTGTTGGCGATGGCTAAGAATATTGACTATTCACTGTGAACTGCCAAAAGAACAAAGAAATCTGTGTTGGAAGAAGTACAGCCAGAATGCTCCTTAGAAGCCAGGATGACGAGACTTTGTCTCTCCTACTTTGGACATGTTATCAAGAGGGACCAGTTCCTGGAGAAGGACATCATGCTTAGTAAAGTAGAAGGTCAGCGAAAATAGGAAGACCCTCAATGAGATGGATTGTGCCTGCAGCAAAGGGCTTGAAACATAGCAGCCACTGTGAGGATGGCCCAGGACCGGGCAGTGTTTCCTCCCAGTGTACATGGAGTTGTGATGAGTAAAGTACCAGCTCAGCAACACCGAACAACAACATGCAACAAATACACACTGACTGCTTACTATGTTCCTGAATGAACCGTGCTGGCACCGCAGGTTAGGTGATGGACTGCTAACCAAAAAGGTGGCGATTTGACCCAGCCAGCCAGATAAGCAGTCTGGTTCTATAAGGGTTTGCAGCCTCAGAACCCCTAGGAGAAATCTGTACGGGTTGGCAGTGGGTGGTGGGCACTGGGTTCCCAACATTCAGTTAAGCATTGTATTTCCATTACCTCATTTCCTTCCCATAACAACTCTCATTATGATTATTTCTTCCATTTTATAGATGAGGCTACTGGGACTCAGAGAGGTTAAGTGACTTGCCCCAGGACACACAACTAGGAAGGGGCTGACCCGGAATCAAAACCAAGACCTCGCAGACACCATCTCTTGTACGGTATGGTCTCTTACAGCACAGTTATGGGTTGTTTAAGGGTTAGGAATGTCTGTTGAATCAGGACTGGATTTTCTAGCATATTTTGATCATGATATATGGTTTATTTCCATGTATTCATTCAGCCAGCAAACCTTTCCTGAGAGCTTGTGGTGTGCTCTAGGAACTAACTGGGCTCTGAAGGCAAACACGTTAGACAGCGTCCCTAGCCTATGAGTGAGTGTGTGTGTGTGTGGGGGGGGGCAGGTGGTGTACAGCTGCTGTCGAATCCTTCTGACACAGAGCACCTCATCTGGCAGAGCAGAGCTGCTCCCTTGGGATTCTGAGACTAAATCCTCACGGGAGCAGACAGCTCGCCCTAGGTGATAGTGACAATAAAAAAGGAAACAAGTAGTGAAGACAGGTTCCTGGGGTGCTTAGTGCTGTGAAAGCAAAGGCCTGAGACAACGTTAAGTGCTCATTTGCTAACTGGAGAGTCGGTGGTTCAAACCCACCCAGAGGCCTTTTGGGAGGAAGACTTGGCAATCTCTCCCATAAAGATCACAAGGGCAACTAACAACACCCCCAAATATGAAACAGGGTGGGCTAACACAAGAATAGACACACAAGTCCGTAGAACAGCATTGGAATCCGCTAACAAATATATGTTTATATTTACATATAAAGAACTTTGATAATATGACAAAAGTAGGATTTCAAAGCAGTGCAAACGGTGTTGAGTCATTGACCAGGCTACTAAAAAATATTATTGAACTCTACTCCACATTGAATGCCAAATTTAATTTCAGAGGGATTAAGAGATTAAAAATTATACATGTAAGACCATATATGCACAATAGGAAAACATGAGAGAATATGCTTAAATCTCTCCTTAAGGAAGGCATGACATAAACCCCCAAATCATAAAAGGAACACATGAGCAGACTGACTTTCTATGAGTTTTATATTTCCAAATAATTATAGATGCTACAAATAAAGCTGGAAGAGAAAACCACAAATCAGGAATCAGAACTTGCAAAATACGTGAAAGAGCATTAATAGCCTTAACATATAAGCCATAAGAAATAGACGACCATTTAGAATTCGGGACAAAGGGCACAAAGAGATAGTCCATAGAAGAAATACAAACAAGCAAAACATTGAAGAGGTGCTCAGTCTCATTAATGACCAAGAAGAAGAAATCCCGAGTTGTATCATCTTTCCTCTGTGTAATTGACATAGATTATACAGACACGCTGCGGGAGTTGGTGAGGATGAGGCAGTAGGAGGAACCCTAAGATGTTGTTGGTGGGAGTGTAAGTTGGTATTGATGCAGCATGAGTTTCCTTTATCTAGAGCCCTGGTGTGGTGCTGTAGGATGAGCACTTTGAACTGCAAGGTCAGCGGTTCAAACCCACCAGCTGCTCCTGGGAAACCCTACACAGGGAACTGACTCAATAGCACTTAACAACAATAACATTTTTGTTACTATCTTGTGACCCAGAATTTCCACATCTGGGAATAGATCCTAAAGGAACATTTGAACAAGTGCACAATTACCAGGGTAATGACTGAAACATTGTTAATAATAACAGGAAATCTGAAGAAAAACATTTCCATCCAAAGGGGGCTGCTCAAATCAATGATGATCCAGTTATCCAACAGAAAGTTAGGCGGTCATTACAAATAATTTGGTAGAGCTATACGTTAAACTGGAAGAAGGGCCACAATGTATTTTTGATCTCTTAAAGCCACTGACCACCACGTGTCTGTCAACTTGCTGCACTGTGGTGGCTTGCATGTTGCTGTGAGGCCGGAACCTATGAATACTGACAGGGTCACCCTGATGGACAGATTTCAGCTGAGCTACCAGACTAAGACAGACTTGGAAGGAAAGGCGGACTACTTCCAAATCCTTAGCCACTGAAAACCTTATGAACAGTAGTGAAACACTGTCAGATAGCACCAGAATATTGAATATTGAAGCATGATGATGCGCATCAGAATACTGTTGGATATAGTGCCAGAGGATGAGCCCTTCAGCTGGGAGGGTACTCAAAATATGACTGGGGATGGGCTGCCTCCTCAAAGTAGAGTTGACATCAATGATGAGAATGGAGTAAAGCTTTCAGGACCTTCATGTGCTGATGGGGCACAACTGAACATGAGGAGAAACAGCTGTAAACATCCATTAATAATCAGACCATGGAGTGTATGAAGTTTTGTAAGTTGTCAAAAATGAAATGGAATGTAAAAACATTGGTATCTTAGACATTACTGAGCTGAAATGGACTGGTATTGGCCATTTTGAATCTGGCAATCAGATGGTTTATTATGCTGGGAATAACAAATTGAAGAGGAATGGCCGTGCATTCATCATAGAAACGGTGTTGGAGATTACATGATAGAATTTTGCAAGACCAATGACTTCTTTGCAAATATCTCTTAAACAACATAAAAGATGCCTATACACATGGACCTCACCAGGTTGAATACACAGAAATCAAATAGACTATATATCTGTATGAAGAGACTGTGGAAAAGCTCCATATAATCAGCCAAAACGACGTCAGGGGCAGTCTGCGGAACAAACCATCAATTACTTATTTGCAAGTTCAGACTGAAGCTCAAGAAAAAAATTAAAAGTCCACGAGAGTCAAAATATGACTTGGAACATATCCCACTGAAATTTAGAGATAATCTCAAGAATAGATTTGATGCATTAGGCATTAGTGATACAAAACCAAGGAAATGGGATGACATCAAGAACACAGGAAGAAAGCAAAAGGTCATTAAGAAGCAAGGAAGAAAGAAAAGATCCACATGGACGTCAGAAGAGACTCTGAAACTTGCTCTCCAGCGTACAGATGCTAAAGCAAATGGAAGAAATGAGGAGGTAAAACTGCTGAACAGAAAATTTCAAAGGACAGCTGGAGAAGACAAAGTCAAATATTGTAATGAAATGTGCAAAAATCTGGAGTTAGAAAACCAAAAGGGAAGAACACATTCATCATTCTCAAGCTAAAAGAAATGAAGAAAAAAATCAAACCTCAGCTAGTAATACTGAAGAATTCTTTCTGCAAAATATTGAATGATACAGTAAGCATCAAAAGAAGATGGAAGGGGG